TATCGAATATTCATCAACTATGGTTGTGGTAGCTTTTAAAAAAAGTGTTGGATCAACAAACACACCAAAGTTTTGGCAATTGGTAATTTGGTACTCATATGGGGTATAGAGTAAATCATCTCCGGTTGCAAGGGTGGAGAGTGGAAGATGGGGACCCGAAAGGAACAGAGGAAAAACAGGGGAGAATAAAGATGACAAAAACAGAGTAAGTTCTATCATGATTCATAACATACAGAGGGTATAAAAACAGTGTTATAAAAAGAAGTTCACAAAACTTTTAAACTTATACTGCATCCAGTTTGCTTAAACAATTTAGAAAAGATTACAGACGAACAAAGGAAAGAAAAAACAGAGGATATTGCAGTGGAATTCAAACAAACAGCATTAGTGTATACTAGTGTAGAGGCAGGGGAGCACCATTCCACTCCTTGAGACAATCCAGGATGGGATCAATCAGTTTCCACTCGCACATCGCCGAGAACACCCTATCGCAATCCTCTCCCGACGACCGGACCTTCTCTCCGGTAAGCAAACCAGTCCCCAACTCTTCCCTCACAAACTTGTATATTGGGTACGACCTGCATTCCTTAATCTGGTTTGGAATCGCCGGATTTCCATTCTCAAATTCAATCCTGGCGTTCTCTACTTCTTTTGGCAAAAGAGTTTTCAGTTCCTCCTCAAAAGCTCCGATCTTTTGGAAAATTGAAGTGCTTGAGTTCTTCTCTCTGTCACCGTTCAGCAAAGCATGGTCAACGAACACCTGCCGGAGCTTCTGCATTAATGGATAGGTGGCACTGCAGGGGTCGTCGATGTAGGCGAACACATGTTCTCGGTCGACGATTTTTAGCAAGTCCCTTTCGCAGAACCTCGACGGGTGAAGCTCGCCGTTGGACCCAATCATCAGAACCCTCTTCGCCGCTAGACACACCGTGTTCTTCACCGCGTTCTTGAGATTCTCCTCCAAATGCCTCAAATCAATTGCCTGGCAAAGTGCTATAATGAAAGTCGACGACATCAGCTTCAATATGTCCACAGCTTCAGCTGTTTTTCTAGCGGAGATTAACCCCAAGGAGTTCACGTCTTGGTTGTGTTGCTCTGCACTCTGGACATGATTCGTCACCGGATTGGCCAAGAATTGGAGCTCAGAGCAGTAAGAAGCCATGGCGATTTCCGCACCTTTGAACCCGTAATCCAAACTCGGATCCCTGCTGGCGGAGAGATTCGAAGGCAACCCATTGTTGTAGTAGTCATTGACGAGTTCAGAGAACTGAGCAAACATTAGTTTTCCAATTGAAGCAATGGCTAAGCGGGTGTTGTCCATAGAGACTCCAATCGGTGTGCCCTGAAAATTGCCGCCGTGCAACGCCTTGCTCCTGGACACATCGATCAAAGGATTATCATTCACAGAATTGATCTCTCTTTCAATCATCTTGGTTGCTGCCCTGATCACTTCAATCTGAGGGCCGAGCCATTGTGGGGATGTTCTCAGAGCATATCTGTCCTGTTTTGGCTTCTGAAGTGGGTCGATTTCGTGCAGTTTCTGAGCTGCTTTAACATAAGAGCTACCATCCAAGATATGTTCCATAATGGCTGCTGCTTCAATCTGCCCTGGATGATGTTTCAATTTATGTGTCAAATGGTCTGTAAACTCTTGTTTTCCCTGCATAACTTCGGCGAAAATGGCTGACAGAATCTCCGAGAGGACAGTGAGTATGTTAGTCTCGAAAAGAACCAATGAAGCCATGGCGGAACCAACAGCAGTGCCATTCACCAGGGCAAGACCTTCCTTCGGCTGCAATTCAAAAAACCCCCCATCTATCCCAGCTAAGCTGAAGGCTTGGGTTGGGTCAAGGGCCTCCCCGTTGGGGCCAACAGCTTTGGAATTGGGTCTGCCTATCAAAAGGCCAGCAATGTAGGATAGTGGTACCAAGTCACCAGAAGCAGTGATCGTCCCCCGGAGTGGCAAGCATGGAGTGACGTTGTGGTTGAGTAACTTGGTGATAGCTTCCAGGATTTCGAATCGAATGCCGGAGTATCCCTGTAAGAGTGTGTTGACTCTCACCAGCATGGCCGCCCTTGCCGCTGAGTTAGGCAATGTGTGGCAAGACTCCGTGCCCTGCCCAAAGATCCCTGCATTCAAGAACCTGAGGCAACAAAATGGTTTGAATTACGTTAGTAACTAGCGTAAAAAGTAGGTAGATCCAATTATTTGCTTAAGATAAAATTCAGAGTAGGGGTGAGTATTTTCATGTGCTAATTAGGTATAATTATACTTAGTACTTAACTTAAAAATTTTATGGTATAATTTTTTGGGCAATGAAATAAGCATTATTTTTTTATATAATTTTCATATATTATTAAATGAGTAGATACATTTAATATTACGAATTTTAAATAAATAAAAATAATTAATCATTTAAATGACATACAAAATTATATCAAAAAGAAGTATAAAAAATTATTTATGAATCATTTTCCATAACTTTTTAAATTTAGTACTTACTCAAATATTTAAAGAATATTTATACTTGATCCTTAACTTAATAAATACTAAGTAACTTGTAAGTATATATTAATATATTTGGTTTAAGACTGAAAAGATTTAATATGAAATGCAATTGTTAAATGTTATATATTTAGTTTAGGGTTTATTATTTATATAAATTATTATTATTGTATATGTAATTTATTTGGTTTATAAGACTTACTTAATTTTTATTTCTATTTTTTACATTTTATTATTTTTATTTTTAAAATTTATTATTATTATATAAATATTAAATATAATAAATATATGTAAAATTTCAATTATATAAATATAGGTAGCAAATGAACAAGTTAAACAAATCAATTAAATATATTAAGTAAATAATAAAAATAATTTAAGAATAATTTTTTATATAACTTTACATATCATTTAAATAATTAATTTTTTTATTTAAAATTCGTATTATTAATTATATTTATTTTTTAATAATATATAAAAATTATATAAAAAAATTATCCCTATATTACTACTCAATAAATAATTTTAAAATTTTATATTTATTATTTAATTTAATATTTATAAATATATTATTTTTATATCAATTAATTAATTATTTTTTTACAATTTAAATATAGTCATTATCCAAATAGGGAAACTGCCACTTGCAAGGTACAGAGTATACCCGGAACGAACGCTCACCTCTAATTCAGAGTAATCCATTTCGGGCCTACTAGCAGTCTACAAACGCAATATGGACAAAGCCTACTCGGCCCCATGAAGAAAATATTTACCTATCCAGCTTTCATCTCTCCAATAATTTATTTTAAAAAAGACAAAATATTGTATAATTTAAATTGTATTAAATTATATAATATTATTAGACAATGGTTGAAAATTTTAATATTAAATGGGTTTAATTCCTATCCAATAATATTTATTTTACCATCTAATGCAATTAGAATTATAAAATAAGGTTCTCTTTAAAAAAATTATATAATTTGAATTACACAATATAAATTATTAGATAAAAATAAACGTTTCAATTTAATATAATATAACTTTAATTATTAGATGCGATAAAACCTTACTATTGAAAACTTTTTTATTTAATAGTTAAAATTGTGTAATTTAATATATTTAAAATACAAAACAAAAAACTATATATATGTGTGAAATTCAAAGAACATCGTGATAATTAAAACCTTACTATTGAAAACTTTTTTATTTAATAGTTAAAATTGTGTAATTTAATATAATTTAAAATACAAAACAAAAAACTATATATATGTATGAAATTATTTAAATATTTTCAACAAATTTTTATTGCATATATTTTTATTATCGTTCTTGATATCTAACAATCGAATTAATAATAAAACTTATCGATAACAATTGCTTGTGGTGTTAGAGTTGAGTGGTAGGTAGCCAAATTTCTTCAGAAAATAATTATGAATTTTTTCTGATTAAAAAATAAAAAACAATTCATGACCTTTGAGCTTGTTATGGTTTCTGGTACAGGTTAGATAACTTAGACACCACCCAACCCCAAGAATTGGGCAATCTTGAGTAATCTTTTTGTACTTTATTAATTTTTTAATATTTAAACCCGATTAATTTAGAATCGAATCATGTCAGATCTTATTTAGGAAAAACTCTTTCAATACTTATTTCTTCATTCATAAAATTTGAATTTAAAATTTTATTTAAAAAAAAGAGTTGTTTTTACACAATCCATGATAGTAATATTAAATAATTAATTTAAAGAATGTACGTAATTGTTTAATCAATTAATTACCTTATGAGCTCCTTTTGGAGGGCACCCCCATCCTTGGTCCTCCTATGTGAGGTTGCACCAAACCCGGTGGTGATCCCATAGCTGTCCGTACCATTTTTCATGCTCTCCAAGACCCAGTCACTGCTAGCCTTCACCGCCGGCAGAGCCTTCTCCGATAATTCAACCCGGACACCGTTGGTGCCAGAGTTGGCAATTGCGGTCACTTGCGCTATGGTCAAGGTCTCGCCACCAAGGAAGACCACGGACTTGCGGTACTCATCAACCATGCGCTTCACCTCATCTAGGTGGCTGCCCTTGAGTGACTCCGCGACCATACCCCAATTCAATGGGTCACCTGTACAAAATCCAGGGGATTTCGTTCCGTTTTTGTTGCAAATTTGCATTGGTTCCATCGGTTAGGACAAGATGAGAACCCAGGGGATAAAAAAAACGATGTTTGGTGTTTGATAGCCGAGAAAATGGATGGAAAGTTAGTGATGAAAAGCGTTACAGAGTTAATGTGACAAGGAAATTTTCAAGGGATATTGAAAATTCCTGAGGATGTTCAACCAAATATGGGGCTTTAAATAGACGGATGGGTATTTAGAAAATTAGGAGTATGTTGGGTGGATATACAGATGGGTTAGTTGAAAGCCAAAAGTGACCGTTGGATCATTATATTTTGGATGGATATGATGGTGACACATGGCGGATATGTGTTTCAAGATTGTAATTATGCCAACACTTGAATTTGTTAAGGTTACATAATTATGTTAAATTTAATTAACATTTTATTAATTTATAATTTGACAAGTAATTATAATATTTCATCTAATTTTTTAATTTTAAAATTTTGTTTTCAAATTTTAAATGTTTAGATATAGGTAGTCAAGTCAATTTTCACTAACTATTTAAATGATGAAAATCTCCTCTCTAAATTTTCCTATGTTGAAAAGAAAAAAATTATAATATTTAAAATTACAAGATTATATATAAATTAATTTTAATATATTAAATAATAAATATTAATTATTTTTTTACAATTAAATTAATATTTATATATATTGTGTACGACATATTAACGTGTGCCACAGCCACAGGCGTGATTTTACGACAGGCACAGGTCCCATGGACTAAGGACGGTTTTTTGGAGGTTGCAAGAAAAGGTTTCTGATTAGTACGATGTCAGAAAGGACTTGGTGGGCGTTGGTATATCTTATATGTTAAGACAGTTAAGTATCGCCTGTTCGAGTATTTTCAATTTTCAGAAAAAAAATATGATAAAAAAAATCAAAATGTGTTAATGTTTGAAATATTAAAATAGTTAATAATTATTATATAATAAATTTGATAAAATTATAATTTATATTATATATTATATATCTAATAGTTAAAATTAGATATTTTAATATTTTTAATATTAAAATGCTTTAATTTTTTATTTTCAAAAATAAAAAAAAAAAAGAGAAAAAAGGTGTATGAACTTACTGATATTAAATATAGAATATAATGTGAATATCAAGTTTATCATAATCATTATATAATTATTATTAAATGTCTTAATATTAATTAATAGATTATTTTAACATATACTCTAAAAACATAGATGTTAAAAGTGTAATTAATAATATATATATTTGTTATTAATTGATATTAAAAATGATAAAAATTAATATTAATTTCATCACCAATATCACATATATTATTTTAATTAAATAAATGTTAATTTTATTTTTTCAATAACAATTAATATAAAAATGTATTATTAACTTACATCTAAAGTACATTTTTGTAGAAGCTTACTTTTGTCATAATTGCATATAAAAAAATTTTAAAATTAAAATTCATTTAAGTGTTGGTACAAAATAAATAAATTTAATTAGATGATTAATAAATTAAATGTCAATTTTTATTTTTTTAATATAAATTTATAATAAAAAATTTATTTATTATGTACCCTTAAGATGTGTTACTAGAACACATATTAAAATAATCCGTTAATTAAATGTAAAATCTTTTCCCTAAACAATAATATTAATTGAGTTTTTTAACCAATGAAGCATTTATTTCAACTTAATTTGTAATAGGAATTTTGAGTTACATATATCTAAAGTCTGGTTAATTAATTGCTTTGAATGACATGGGTTACCTACCAACGGCAATATATGATCTTGAGTTATTAGCCGGTTTGTGTTGATATAAACTTTAATATGGGATGTTAATGAGGGGTTTTTAACTTATATTGAAGAATGTATTTATTATACTAGTAAACAATTAATTTTTATGAGGGTATAAAAATAAGTATTAATTTTAAAATTATTGAAACGTGAATGATTTTGATTGAACATTTAATAAAATTATATAAGGTTTTTTTAACTTGTATGAGTAAAAGTAGTGTAATAACTATAATTTTTTATTATAAATTTGTGTTAGAAAAATAAAATTTAAACTTTAATTTATCATTTATCTAATTAAATTTATTTACTTAGCAATGATAATAAAATTAATATCAATTTTTACATTTTCAATATACATTTATGACAAAAAGGTAACCTTAACTTATACCCTAAATACACAAATTAAAAAAATTTATTATATAAAACCAACTTTTATTTTTTTTTATAAAAAGTAATTATAAAAAAGTTTAATAAATACCTATTAATATGAGCCAATAGCACACGTTAGAATAATCCTAATTTTAATTTAGTAGAACAAAGTTGGATCCGGTTAGAGTTCTCCAAAACTTCAATTTAGTAAGACCAAAATTGTACTTACGCTGTTACTCAGAAGAGAAAATGTACTTCAGCATTTGTGAACCATTTAAATAATTTAATAATAATTTTTTAATAAAAATAAAATTTTAAATTATATTATATATAAGTGACATAAATTAAAAAATAAAAAAATGTTTTTTATTACACAACTCAAAAAAAAAAAAAAATTCAGCACGTAGAAAATTTCCACGCCCATTATCCATTATCAAATGTTGTTTGAATGTTGAATCATTCCCAATATCCAGTATGCACACCCATAATCCACATATGGTAAGCCTACCAAGTACCAACCCCAATCCTTGTCATCAATTGATGTGTAGTTGGTAGGATGTCGTGGGTTGTCCCTTGGCTTCTTGTTTGAATAGTACAATAACGTAATATTGTATAGCAACGCCATAACTCTTTTTATTCTACAGTATATAAAAAGAAAAATGAGAAATCATTTTGGATAACTCCATAAACACTTTCAAAGGAAAATTAGGGGGTTGTTAAACCTGGAAGTCATGGTCACCACCAACCACAACCCTTTTTTTTTTTACCTACCATTTTGTCGAGGGCGGTAGGTGAAGCAAGCGAAACCAATTTCACAATTTTGTTCCTTCACTCATTATAATTTATAACACCAATTAAGCAAAAACTTACTTAAATCCTGAACTTATCTCAAATTCTTAATTAAATTATGAAATTTTTATTAAAACAAATAAGTCATTGAATTTAATAATCTAGATAATTTAATTATTTTTCTTTATGGTAAACTTAATGTGTATTTGTATTTCACTTATCCATATAAGATATTAATATGTCATTGTTTATGTAATGACTAATGAGTATTGACCTTATCTATATAAATAAGACACAAACGAAAATTAAATTTGCCATAAATAAAAATAATTAAATTGCTTAAATTACTAAGTTTAAAATTTATTTATTTTAATAAAAGTTAAGGATTTAATTGAAAATCTAAGATAAATTTAAAGGGTTTAACAAAAGGTTTTGCCTACCAAATTATCCATTGCGTATTTTCAAATATATTTATATATATATGGATATATAACACCAATTAGTTAAGTCACCAACCCATTTTCAAGCCTTTTGTTTTTTATCGTGTTATATGCTATTCCACATATGCATGATCATGTTTGACTTTTGACGCAGCTTAATTTCACAGTTTTCATTTTTTTTCAAGATATTCTTACTTAGTATGATAACATATTCTAGATAATACTTTTGATTCAATAATTAAGATGACAGGTTACCAAATTTTAATGCTTCATGCTTCATGCTTCGTTTGATTTCATGGAAAATGCAAATTCACAAAGGTCTTCTCTTTTTTGCCACTTGGATTAGTAGCATTGAAAGTTGGATGGTCTCAACTGGAACAAAAAGATATTCCCACAATGCTCCACACCTGTAATTGCACCAAACCAGAAGTCCTTCTTCAGCCCGCGCCTGTACTCCGGGATGACCTGTAAAGCCCCGAGGTGGAACTCGGGGTAAACACTCCGATACTTAAGTCAGCAATAATCGGGGCTACCTTTAGGGCGAAAATAAAAAGAGCTTAGGGTTGGTTTCAATTACCTTTTGACATGGCCCGGATGGGGTATTTATAGGATCCGATGAGGAATCCAAATGGCATGCCAAGCAAGATAATCGGAGCCTGACATGTCCATCCAAACGATTATTCCGGGACCAAGAATTTGAGAGGTATTCAGATGTACAAGTGTCCACCATACCTGCTGTGCCACTCATCATAAGGAATCGGGTGCGGGCATGCTCATTGTTACTGTCATGCAGCTATTTGAGCAGAAAGCTCTGGGTCTATCCTTCACTTCGATCATAAAAAAATTACTGTAGCAGTCCGAGGCTAGGCACCTCGGACCTGTCCTTACAACACCATTATTCCTTTAGTTTCATTGTTTGTATGCCTCCACCAAATCAACCCTACATTTTAGACTTCCATTTTTTTTCAAATTGATTATATCTAGACACTCACCAAGGGATTGGTAAATGCTACTGTATATTCCAATAATCAAGAAAGAAACAAAGGGGGAAAGAAAGAGAGAGGAAAGTTTAGATAAACAGCATTTTTCATTCTTTTTTTTTTTTCCTTTTCCAAATTAAGGTGGATTCCATGTTAGATGGTATCTTTTTCAGTTATTTTTAATTAAAAAATTGGTACTAACTAGCAGTGTCTTAACCCAAGTTAGGGGGAAGAAAATGGGGTAGTAATAAAAAAGGAGGCTACGGGTAGTGAGTATATGGGCAGTTTCACCTGAAGATATTTCGATTCTCTCATGAACTTGACGCAAAATTGTTCATCAAACAAATAAAAAAAAAAAACTCTTTTAATTTTTACAAATTTTATATAATTTAATAATAATTTTTTAATGAATATAAAAGATTTTGAGTTACATGATAAGTAAATAACATGAATTAAAAAAAATGAGAATATAACTTATCATTATACAATTCAAAACCAAAAATAATAATAATAATAAAGGAAATTAAAATTATATTAGATAGGACTTTAGTTGTGGGACATATATTATTGTTAGAGTGATCTGATTTGATTAATATTTTATTAATTTATAGATTTTTTAAATAACTAATTATGATATTTAAAAACATCTATTTATAAATAAATTTTAACATGTTAAATAATAAATATTAATATCAATGATTTATGGGTTTGATTGAAACAAATTTAATTATCTTTAACAAAATTTTAAATTTAAGTTTTATAAATAAAAAGATAAATTATAAAAT